TCTCTTTGTTATCAAAGGACCTGACTACTCCGACATATCGATGATGGTGGAATTGATTTTATAAGGGCTTCTCCGCTTATCTGTGCTAGGTAAAGGAGAGTCACTAAAGATTTAGTACAATATCTGGAGGGTACCTATAGGGAGTGGACTTAGGTCAGGTTGGATCAAACCACTATAATTCTGTTGTATTCTTTTTTATTTTATGCTTTTTGCACTTTATTTTGTGTTGGATATAGAAGACTACTCATACATTATTTGATGAATATAATTCTGAGAAGTATAGAGTTGAGGAAGAAGATGAAGAACGTGAGATTACCTAAGAAGTAAAAAATATAAATCTTGAGGAAAAGGGTAGAGCCTCAAAATACTAAAGAAGTAAGTGAGATTACCCAAAGAGTAGAATCTATAAATATGGAGGAAAGGATAGAACTTAGACAGACTTTTCTTAGATATTGGAGATATTCTTCGAGTCATCCTAAAGAACTAATCTTAGGAGACCCTTCTAAAGGTCTTAAAACTATGCGTAGACTTAGAAAAAAACTTAAGCACTCAGCCTTCATCTCAATGACTGAACCCACCAACATCAACCAAGCCGTTTCGGATGAATTCTGGATCTTAGCAATGCAAGTGGAATTAAACTAATTTATTAGAAATGATATTTGGGAGTTTATAAAAAGATTGAAGGTCTAAAGTGTAGTAGGAACTAAATAGGTCTTTAAGAATAAAATAAATGATTTTGGTGTGATGGTTATGAATAAGGCGAGATTAGTTGCTAAGGGGAATAATTAAATAGAAGGGATCAATTTCTAGGAGACTTTTTCCACTGTAGCTAGATTAAAAGTAATTATAGTGCTTCTAGACTTGGCCTATTATAAATGATTTTTAGCTTTTCCAAATGGATGTCTAGAGTATCTTTTTAAATAGGGTGATAAAAGAAGATGTGTTTATAGAGCAATCTTCATTTTTTGAGAGTTTTCAATTTGCAAATCATATTTACAAACTAAAAAAGGCCTTATATGGATTAAAATAGGAACCTAGAGCTTGGTATGAGAGACTTAGCACAATCCTGCTAAAAAAGAGAGTTTATTAAGGGGAGTGTTGTTGATTTTGTATGGGTTGTTAAACCTAAGCTATTGTCCCAAGGCTAACAAGATGGGGAGGTGAATTGGTTATTTAAAAATTTTCTTGAATTTTTAGATAGAAAATTGATTAGAATCTTGTAGCAAGTTAATTAAGTATTTATATGAACTTTTCCACATAAATAAATAACTTATAGAAAATAAAATGCAAAAATTAAAAAGATACAAAGATTTATAATGGTTTGGCCAAACACAACCTACAACCATTCCCTAAAGACTCCCTCTTCAGGTATTACACCATTACTAAAGTGACTCTCCTTTTGCCCCCACTGCAAGGCAGAGAAGCCTTTACAAAAACCTCTCTTCCACCAATCTCTTATGTGGCAAAGAACCATCATCCTTTCACACTCTCCAAGTGTCAGCTGAGAACTATCGTCCTTTCACACCCTCCAAGTGTAAGCAGAGTACCTTCAACCTTTCACACACTACAAGTGCCGGTAGAGTACCATTATCCTTTTACACCCTCTAAGTATGAGCAGAGTACTGGATCTTCTCATAAGTAACTAGAAAGAAGAAAAGAAGTGTAACACTAAAATCACAAAGAGATCCTTACCTTTGAGTAACCTTGTGAACCCTTCATACTCCACTTATAAGAAATCTCTCTCAAACACTCTCCCACACTCTCTCTTTCAAATGCCCTTAAAAAATCATGAAGACGGTAATTTTTCATGTTAGTTTTTGTGGACCTTTTATACCAAAGATATGAAAACCTTACAGAAAATTGAAATTTTTAATTTTGAGCATTCACGATCGTACAGTATGATCGTATGTTCGTACATACGAACAGTCATATGTTCGTACATACGAACAGTGCAAAAACTATTGCGGACAAACATGTTGTGAATCAATATGAAACAATTTGTTTATGATCATCATTCGATATGAATCAAGTTCATCTGGTATTAATAGGTAAAAAATTTTCACGTTCGTCGGGATGCAAAGTTGGGATGAAAAGGGACCCGTCTAATTCATACAATGGAAAGCATGTATGAATTGTATATCGTACAGTACGATCAGTTATATAAATTTTCAAGTTCATCAGGATGAACAATCGGGACAAAAAAGGGACCCATCCATTTCGTACTCTAGAAGGCATGTACGAATGGTATATCATACAGTACGATCCATACTTAAAAAATTTTCTACTTCCTATTCATTTAATTACTTGAAGGGAAAGTAACTGATCAGATCGTCCCGTACGAAAAGAAATCATACAATATGATAAGTTTAGAAATTATAGGTTTTAAACTCTCTCCCGGTATGTGTGTGCATAATTACTCAATTACAATCACACTCTCTCAGACTCAATAAAATGAAAAATATAGACTTCAATTACAAAATCCTCTAAACTAATCTGATTTGAAGTCTTCAACAATGCAGAGTATGATTTCCCTGAAATATTAGTACAAACGAATAACAAAATAATACTTTCATAATATGTTAAGAGAAATAATAATCAAAGCACTAATATTTGATATCATAAAAATATACAAATTGCAAGAATATCAATAATTAAGAATAAAGTAGCAACTATCTCAAGAAACATAGACTCTATCCTTTTTCTAAGGAAAGTAGGAGATGATTTACTCATTGTCCAAATCATTGTTGATGATATACTTTTTGGATCGTCTGATAAAAATTTATGTGATGATTTTTCTAAAATAAAGAGTAAATAATTTGAGATGAGTTTGATGGGAGAATTGGTCCTACTTTTTGGGTTTTAGCATAAGGCAAATGAATAATGGAACTTTTCTTAATCAATCAAAATACACTAAGGACATCATGAAGAAATATGAAATGGATAAAGCTAAGCCAATAAACACTCCCATATGCTCCAGTGTCTAGTTAGATAATGATTCAAATAGAAAATTTGTTGATCAAAAAAAGTACAGAGGAATAATTAGATACTGCTTTACTTGGCTGCTAGCTGATCTTATATAATATTTAATATTTATCTCTGTGCTAGATTTTAAGGTGATCCTAAATAATCCCACCTGACAACAGTTAAGAGAATCCTTAGATATATCTTATAGACCCAAAACTTAGGAATCTGGTATCCTACATACAACACCTCTTTTGAAATTATTGGATATTCTTATTCTAAATTTACAGTGTATAGGGTGGATAGAAAGAGTACCTCTAGAACTTACCAATTTATAGGATAATCCTCAGTCTTTTGGTCTAGTAGAAAATAAAACTCTGTTACACTTTCCATTTTTGTAGCTGAGTATATTGTGTTAGGAAGTTATGAGACCAAAGTCCTTTGGTTGAAGCAATAAATTTTGGATTTAGGATTATCTATAGGAATAATTTCAATTATATGTGATAATACTAGTACCATATGCATCTCTAAAAATCCTATCTAATATTCAAGAACTAAACACATTGATATAAGGCATCACTTTATTAGGGACCAAGTTACCAAAGAAGACATTGAGCTACACTATGTAGCAATTGACAACCAACTAACTGACATCTTTACAAAACCACTGACCTTTAACACATTCAGCATCTTAAGGACCAAATTGGGTGTGATTGACATAAATGCATGAACTTGAAGATTTCTGAACTCTAAATTTTCTACTTTCTATTCTTTCTATTATTTTTGTTTTCATTGTTGATTTTATTTATTTGTTGTCGTATTTTTGTGATTTTATTATTTATGTTATTATTTCTTTCAATTTTCTTTTGGTCACTAATAAAATAATATTTTTTGCCTAATTTTTGTTTTTGAAAATTCATAATTAATGATTTTTTTTAAGGAAATGCATAAAATTGCATTAAAAAATAAAAACAACAATACAACCTCACGTCACACCAAGTAAGCTACTATCCTCCTTCAGACAATACAAGAAAGAAGGAGGAATAAAATCCAAATGAAGACTATCCCAAAAAAATGACCCATTTAATGCCACATTAGCGCAAATATCCCCTAACTTATTACCATTTCTACCTGAGCAAGAAAAACAAACTTGCTTAAAATTCAGTAAAAAAGCTAACTCATCTTCAATAACTCTACTAACCTCCCATTTCTTAATAGACCTCTGAAGAACTTTGATGATATTGACGTTGTCACCTTCTATGATAACCCCTTGTGCTTCAAACATCCGTTCTTGTATTACATTCTTCAGGTACAACACCGCAAGCATTTCCAAATGAGCTGAATCCCAATGCAAAAGCTGATAATCGAATCGTAACAGAAATCTGCCAGTATCGTCTCTAGCCACACCACCAATACCAGCTACAATGTTCTTTTTGATAGCAGCATCAACATTAATTTTTATCCATCCCGGGGGAGGGGGATACCAATGTATAGACAACAATTGCTGGTTAGCATTCCAGTTTCCCGACTAAAAATTAATGAAATTGCTCCTTAAAGCATACGAAATTGCATTAACAGCTATATAAGTCTCAGCATCTTCTTTTTCACCATGTACCAACTTGCATCTGCTCTTCCAAACCATCCAAACCACTGTACATAAAATATTAACCAACAAAGCATTCCTTCCCTACAACTTCTGAAGTTCAACTAAACATTCATCCAGATTATTAAAAACTGGAACATTAAACCCCCATTTATTTATAGTCAAGATAGTTTTCCTGAGTTTCGAACAGCTGCTCACAATGTGGCTCACATTCTCCTCCTCATCACATCCTCTTGGACATTCAATTAAGGTGCTCAATCTTCTTCTCAGAAGAAATGAAAAAGTCGGCAATGAATTGTTGCATATTCTCCACCAAAACAAATCAATAACTGGTTTCAGCTTTATCTTCCTCATCCAACTCCATTGATTACTAGCCTCCTCTTGATTCATACTAGCTAACGAAGCCAATGCAGTGATACATTTACCAAAATAATTTCTATAAAAGTTCTAGCTGATCATCCCGTCTGCTATTATCAATCGGGATATTAGAAATGATCTCAATCAGCTGACTTCCAAAAGTTTCTTTTAATTTGTCAAAGTTCCACTGACCATCTGAAATGAATATGCTTAGGGGGAAGTCTACGTACTCTTGAACATTAACAAAGGTAGGCCACATAGCAATGTTTCTATCCAAAATCCACGTATCATACAGCCAATTGATTGAATCACCATTAGAGATCTTCCATCTAACCACCTTTCTCAAAAATCTAGCACCCATAGCAACAATTTTCCAAGTTATTGAACACCCAGTCCTACTCGAAGAGGACCAAATATCAACTCCATACTTAGCTCTCAAAATCTGGTTCAAAACAGAATTTGGGTTGCTAAAAAATTTCCAAGCAAATTTGGTCCGAAGAGGACCAACTTTTGATATAGCCGAGAAGAGACCTCTACCACCTTCACATTTTGGTTTACAAAGCAATTCCCAAGATACGTAATGAATTCCAGCATTTCCATCCCCTTTACTCCAAGGAAAACTTCTACACATCTTATCAAAATTCTTCAAAACTCTTAAAGGAACAAGAGAAAGAGAAGGCATGAATAGAGGTAAAGACAAAAAAGCAGACTTTACCAAGACTATTCTATCTTCAAGAGAGATGTTCTTTGAGCCCCAAGTATTTAATCTTCCAGCTGCTACCTCTAAAAGATTCTGGAAATCCGTTGTCTTCAACCTCCTCAAAGCCATTTTAATACCCAGATAATTGATCTCCTTAACCTTTTTAAACTTAAGAATCTTCATCATTTTCTTCTGAACTCTTTTTCTTGTATTTTTTCCAAACAAGATCATGGATTTGGAGAGATTTACCATCTGGCCAGTCCAATCACAATAATTGTTTATAATTCTTCTCAACTCCTTAACCTCCTTCACCTTAGCCTCCGAGAAGATAAGAATATCATCTGCGAACAAAAGATGAGAAACTTTAGGTGCTAATCGAGAAACAGAGATACCCCTATTAATCCTTAAACAAAGAGCATCAGACAAAATCAGAGAGCACAGAATGAAGAGAAAGGGGGATAAAGGGCAACCTTGCACTAAATCCACACTTCCCTTTAATCCAATCCGTCTTCTTCCCATTAATCAAAATGCAAAACTTCGGATTGAGCACACAGCTTAATAAGAGTTCCCTAAACATAGGGGGAAAATTAAAGTGAATGAGAACTTGCCTCAAAGCATCCCATCCCATGCTATCGTAAGCCTGCTTTATATCTAACTTCATTGCTAGAAAACCACCTTTAGCTTTGGACCATCTGAATTTATTGAAAATCTCTTGAGCCACCAACAAATGTTCAGATAAGGATCGGCCTTTAATGAAATCCGCTTGATCTACCGAAATGAGTTTATGAATAACCTTCTCCAACCAGTTAAGAAGCATTTTTGCAATTACTTTATAGATAGTCATGCAAAGACTAATAGGCCGGATGAGAAGGCTCTTGAGGACACTTGATTTTCGGAATCAGCACAATCAAGGTTTCTTTCCACGATTGATCCATATTGCAAGAGGACAAGAAATGATACACTGCCGCCCACATATCATCCTTAATCACATTCCAAAAGTCTTTCATGAATGAGAAGGTTATACCATCTAAACCAGGAGAGATGTTTCTTTCGAAATTAACCACCACCAATTGAAGTTCTTCTCTAGTAAAATCAGCCTCCAGCAGCCTTTGATCTTCATTGCTAATCAAATAAGAAGGATTCGGCCACCCCTCCAAAGAGCAAATTCTATGCTGCCACTTCATTCTGAAAAACTCAGAAAAAACATTCTGTATAACAGATTCCTCCTCTGATATACTTCCATCACTCTTCTTAGTATGATGAATCCAATTGCTATTCCTCCTTGCACTAGCAAAGGCATGAAAAAATGAAGAATTACTATCGCCTTCTTCCATCCATTTGACTTTAGCTCTTTGTTTCCACCAAGCATTAAGGTGAGCTAAAGTGACATTCAGTTCATTGATCTTGAATCTAAGCAATTGTAGCTTTTCCTCTGAAATGCCATTCTCCGATTCCTCCATCTGTAATTCCAGGATTTCTTTTTTTAAACTGTCTCTTAGCTCAGTTAAATTTCGGTTCTTCTCCTTACTTCAGAAGAAAAGACCTCTAAGAGCCTTTTTAAACTTCCAATTAAGAATCAAAGCCGGTTCACCAACAGATTTTTTGTTCCATATCTTGCTCACTAAAGCAGTTGCACCATGATACGAAGCCCATACCTCCTCATACCGTATATCCCTCTTACTAATCTCCACTGAGAAGAAGCCTCCAGAACTAAGAAAACCGCCAAGTCCTTCCTCCATAAAATCAAAAGACCTCCTGAAAGACCACCAGCTGGAACCATGAAAAAATCCCAGTTGCTACCCAAAATCTTCAAAATTTGGTTGTTATCTAAAGAGCAAATCTTTATTTCCAACAAACCAACAAAAAAAACTTTATAATCCTTCACCACTTCCTTGAGATATAGAGTAGCCTCCACTTTCTTGGCTCCTCTACAATTCCAGAATAATAAAGAACTCATTTTCTAAAGATGGGGGACGGACCCCCATTCTTTTTAACTTACCCACTTTCTCCCTTCCTATTATGAGCAATAATATTACCAGCACCAAGATATTTGAGTTCTTTAGTCAGTTTAGTTTTTTTATCCAAAGAAAAGTTACCCTCCAAACTCGATTCTGAGTGATTCTTGGCTATATCAACTTTCCGAACATTCATTGGACTATGCTTCTCTGACTTATCTACCTTTAAACTATCCCCTTCCAAAGTAGATTCAAGAATTTCTCCTTCCTCCAATATTCCTTTATCAAATGCAGCAGCAGGCTCCACTCTAGCTCCCTCCTCCCAATCAGATAACGAATCAAATTTATTGTTAATCTCCACTGCAATGCTCACTTCATTATCAATCACCTATTTGGCCTTAAGAGACATACCCTCAGCTGGAATATCTGCCACAGTAGCTTGTTCAACATTATTATCTGTCATATAAAAATTCTCCCTCACCTTATCCAGCTTAGCTCCATCCTCTTTAACAGCCAAAGAATTAAGATTTACATTAACAGAAGTAACAGCTTTAGGAACAAAAACTTTTTTCATTGGAACAGGATTTTTCCTTGGAGGGAATTTTTTAAAGTTCTGAAAATTATAATTCTTCTTCCTGTTACTAACAATAGTCCAAGTTTCCTTCTCAACTGCCTTCCCCACAATGTCTTCGATAACATCAATGCTAGGATTATTGTCAAACAGATTGCAGTTCTTTTCCAGCCCCATCATCTTCTTTGGCTCCTTAGAAACATTCAAATCATGTCCAATTCTACCACAACCAGCACAAATTTTTGAGATTCCTTCATACTCAACTTTTTGGAAAAACTTGCTTGATAAACCTTCCACCCAAACACCATGGGCTAACTTCTTATCCAGGGAAACACGAACACACACCATGGCATATTCCCTCCTGCTCCATTGAAAGGAGTTTCCATCTAGAAGAAACGGTTTTCCTACTAGCAAGGCAATGCTGCATATATTGATCTCATCCCAGCAATGCAAGGGAAGATTAGGCAATCTAATCCAAATTGGAGATGAGATGCCACTGAGAGACATAGGATTAAAATTGATAGACCACTTATCCAATCCTACCACTTGATCGCTGATCCACCAAGGTCCTCTTGACATAACTTATTCAATAGCTGTAGAATCTTCAAACGAACACAGCGTCCAACCAAGACCAAGTCCTGTGATATGGAATTTTCCATGTTTATCCCATTGTCTTCTCAAATCTGAACTAATCACATGAAAAGGAATACTATCATCGAAAACTTTGACAACAACAGCCTTCTCCAGTCTCTTCGCATTTTCCATTTCTTTATCTGTCTGGAGAATAACAACCTTCCCATCATCAGATAAAAAAGATCCCAGGTCCAGGTTATCAACTTTAACATAAAGCTTTTTATTCCACGCCTAATGCAATCGCACCGTATTACCTTTATTCGCATCTGACTCCTTAGCTTCAGGAATAACACTACTAGTCTTCAGAAGCAAATCTTCATTCACAATGTTCGCCTCCCGAAGATTGCTACTAACCAGATCTTTGACATATAAATCTCTTCTAATTGGTGAAGAAGGTAAGGATTTTGAGTCAAAATTCTTACAGGAATAAACTCTCAGATCAGAAGAAACAGAACAGTCCAAACATTGATCATCAACTCCTTTAAAATTTCCATCCGGAACAGACTTACCCTTCAAGAAATTCACATCTTCATCCCTGATAACATTCTTACCTTTGCCAGAAACCAGAACAGGTAATTC